GAATCTAGGTAAGTGCCTACTTTTTGATCAAAATAGAACGGGAAGATGGGAACTAATAGGTAATTTTAGGATTGGAGGTAGTTTGAGGACTTTCACTAGCGCCGGTACCAAAGCTCGTAAAATCACCCGCACCAACCCACAGTCCTTCAATATAGACAACATCGAGGAAAGATCTGAATTCGCTGTTTAGTCGTCTTTTAGCTGCTGGTAGCATTATAGACCTAGATGCCCCATATAACAATATCTGCTTTATTTAAAATATCATGAACCTAAAAAGTGATTTGTTGGGTTGTGAGATTTGGGGGTGATGAAAGTCCTTGAGAATTGACTGAATTGTATAGATAGATAAATGTGAGCGTTGCTACATCGTATGATGATATGATCAAATATTAATGTCCCGTCTATTTTAGATCTCCTTGCACAAAGGCGAGCTTCGAACTTGAGAATGCACCTATCTCTCAACCCACCTCCAGTAGGTCGTATGTGAGATGAAGCAGATGTGAGTCAAGAAGGAAGTGGTTGTATTTGGTAGCTAGCTAGCTAGGAGTCCATGTCTCTCAAATAGTCTACTTGTACGCTAGCCCTTATTAGGTTACTATTCACTCCTCCCCAGAAAAGAAAAAGCAACAACACATGGTCTCAAGTCTAGCTTCAAGCAGCTTCATAGCTACTGGGAGATGCTCTAATCGCAACCACTAGAATGGCACTCAGTCACCAGCTCAAGACTGGTATAACACTTGAAAATCTGCACCGCCTGACCATGCGAAAACAGTCCCTCACAGTCTGGACCCTAAACATCGGCGTCTCGAGGTTGCGTACGCATGCAGTAGCCCTTATCGTGGCCGTTGCCATGGGATCCATCAGGTTTCTTCCAGTGAATATCGAAGCGTTCGGGTTCTTTCTCGACTTGGTAGAGTGCCTAATCTCAATCAGCACTCTCTCCCCGCAAAATTCAAAAAGAATATGGAAATAAATTTAAGTAAATAGAAAGGGTTGGACGGAAAGGGGAAAGTAGCTCTTACAATATCATCCAAAGCCTCAGTGGTAATAGGAAATTTCTCTTCATCCAGGAGTTCGAGGCGAGTAATCGGCATATCGTACGCGTTCTTCTTGGCCGTGCACCCATCGCATGACCCTTGGCTTCCGCCTTCATTGATATCGTTCCACAAGCTGTAGAGCCAGCCCGTGCTATGTGTGCTGCAGTCTGGAATTTGCGGAAAGAGGATCACGGCGTCGGCTGCTCCCACTGTGCCAGGGTTGGAGATGTCGACTACAGTGCCATAGTAGATGCTGGTTTATTTGTGAGAATTTTTGAGGGTTGACAAGGCATAAGAAGAGGGGGAAAGGATTAGGGAGATGGTGAGGGATGAGGGCTGCTTACTAGAAATCTGCTGTCGCTAGGGGGAGGAAGGGTAAAGAGGACGATGAGAGGCGTGGAGAAGTTTTGGAAGAACATTTTATGTGGGCGATTAAGTATTTGAGTATTCAAATGTGAAGAGGTATTGGAAAATTCCTATGGTTGTATTTCGAAAGCACTAATGCAAGTTGAAAGTTGATTTTTTGCAAGTCAAGTTAGGAGGGGAAAGGCCTCTTTATATAGAACTCGACAATCCGCATCCACCAACTGACGTAGCTACTATCAACATAATTATGATGCGTGTAACTACGTATGCTGTGTATACCTTCCCGATGGAAGAAATTATGGCTCGTAAATGTTGTAGGGAATGATATCATGTACTTCGAGATAGCCCGAATAAGCGAGTGAAAAGGGGAGAAGGTGACGAATCGTTTTGGGTGTTGCCCAATCGCAAGTTTATGTTTGAGAACAGATTCACTAAGATTAATCTCGTACTCTATTTATTACATGTCAGCCATGCCTAAGTAGGATTACTATGATGTATCTTTGCGCACCCTATGGGGACCCCGCAAATGCTTCGGTAGATTGTTAGACGATTTTGTCGTCAAGAGATGCTATCATAGATGACAGATAATCTCAATGAGCTAGCTTTGAAACCTTTCTTTGTTTTTCTTGCAACATACCAAAAATAATGGCAACCGTTTGCCATACCGTTAGGGAGATGTTTACACTCGCCACAGTGTCCAATGAGTCCCATCTCAGTCCAACTTTACTCCTTTACCTGGACTACGACTCCAATGACAATTCTTGGTCAAAGTCAGCTCAAAGATCAAGAGACACGGTAGTAGTGGGTGTGAAGTGGTAAAATGCGATCTTATGCAACCTGACGAAAGTCAAAGTGGAAGCCAGGGCTCAAAACACGGATTCAAGGTTGTTTATCTTCTAACTGAATCTAGACTACAAAGCACAAATACTTCAATTTGGGAGAGAGAGAAAACGAAACCAAGCTCACCTCTTCCCTGATCTGTCGCATCAACCTAAGCCTCATCAAGTCACGAGAACACGAATCCTACGAACGCAGCGTGTGGACTTGTCCAATGCTGCGCGTCTCAGTCAAGGCTCAGGTCTAACTATGAGTCCAGATTCAATTGAGCTCAGGAATGAGTGAGCTTGACGGGATTGCTTGTCTCTTACATATGTCGCGTGAAGTTTAGGGTTGAACAGAGATGGCTTGAAGTCGCACCTTCTCTTCTTCAATGACTTGACCCAAACTAACCACAAGTGCCTCCACGATCTTAGCCATGGTGATCACTGATTTTGTAACCTTAATGCCCCAGGTAGCTGAAGATAGTGAAAGGGACGATTTGTATAAGCCACGGAACTCATTCACTGTCTCGCTTAACATAAAAACAGAGCAAAAACATAATCCAACCCCCACGTTGCGCTATCCTTAGGTAGACTGCCCAAAAGAAGTGCAAAGAAAAAAAGCCACTTTTTATTCTTCGTTCGTGTCGGACAGGAACTTCCCTGTCCCCAGTAGCCACTTGCGTCACTGTCATTTCTGATATAGCAATCTGAGGATGCCTAACAAGACGACTCCATGCACGTCTTATGTAGAACAGACAATACTGCTGCTGCCACTCCGCTAACAGACCGTGAAATTATGTTCGCTTAGGAGATGCCAGTGGGTGGCTTATTTGTGGTCCAAACAAGGAAGAAAACATGTAAGAGCGGATGAAGTGATCTGGTAGTCGAAGAAGTGCTTTGGGTCTCCAGTAGGAACTGATTAAGCGAATATTCCCCAAAACCTTTTAATCATAGAGCGTGGGTTGATAATATATAAAAATTGGAAGCTCACGGCAGAATCCCACTTGCTGACAACAATTGGTCCTCAAAATTGCGCCAGTGATGGCTGAGTAATTGGCATACTTGAAGCTAATGAAGGCAGTAAAGAAATAAGCAGCCAGGCCAACTCCCCACTACAATTAAACCCAAAGATGAAACCTGTGATTTGTCGAATAGGTTACAAATCAAATTACCAATTCAAAAGAGGAACATATGACGCTCAAATCATGAAAACCCTTCCCCAAAAGCCCCATCTCCAAATGCCACCTCAAATGCGTCCCTACACCCTTCATCACCCATAGATCCACCATCAAAACCTAAATCCCTTCAAAGCACTCTTTCTCCAAAGCTTTGAAATACGTCTCTCCTTTTTTCGTTCTTTGAACCATTGTATGAGCTCACTGATCGATTGTAGGGTTGGTGGGATCGCGAGGATCAGGGCAAGTATGCTGATGACTACTGCGATTTCGATGCCTGTCATGATGAAGCATGGATAGGCTGATGATATGCTGACGTGAAAATAGCAAAATTGATGCAGATGATTTGTGATCTGGTTTGAACTTAGGAAGAAGAGTCTTTGTATTTGCTGGGTTCAAAGTATGAGATGGATGAAGGAGGTGAAAATGCTTGAATTGCGACTTGTAAAAGAGTGGGATAGAGATAGTTTTGATATTCACTCTTAGTGATATTTGAAGAGTTTAGTTAACATCAAAACTGAAAGGTAACAGCAATGCTTTATGCTAAATTCAACTTGGGGAGCCTCATTTTCCTTGTAGCCAAAACGTTAACTCTAATTGAGCCTCTGAGGCGACACTCCGCCTTACCTCATCTACAGAATCAGGAGGAAACACTCGAGGCTTCTGCTCGGTGAGTGTCTTGAAGATTAGTCAAATCATTTTGCATTATGAGAGTCCACCCGATATAATAAAACAGTCAGGCGAAAAAAGATGTACGTACTCGGAGGACAAACATTCAAGACGCCCATAAGGTAGAAATAGTTTGCTGACTCGCCATTTTCATCTGAACGACAACCACAACCTCGAGAATCCGAAGTCCAAGTTTGCGTGAGAAGTGAAGTTTGTCTTTTAGCAAGCATGCAAAGCATCGCATTGCATTGCATCGGAACAAGTCGCAAACACCCGCGAGAGGGGCAAGGCAACGCTCTTAAAGACCGGATGGAAACAAATGAGTCGAACAAAATCATATCCTCTTGCCTCATTCCATCTCACTGTACCAAAGCCCTATATACTTCGTAAGTATGCCATGAACTTAACTCCTAACCCCGAATATTAACTTTCTCAGGTCATGTTGCCCTGTCAACTTAGCGTTTCGCTACTTGAAGATGAGACCAAACGCCCTTATTCCAAAAATAGGCCCACGTATTCAGGGAAAGACGATGATCTCCTTACAACAATTCAACCCGCCTTCCAGAAAGGACCGAAATCATGAGTATCTGTCAAATTCTTGAGTTTGGGTGACGACAATTCGATTTATTCACTCGCACCCCAAATTTTCCACAAGTAAACAAAAAGGAAGTTCGCCAGCCAATCCGAGCGCAGCCACTAAAATCCAGGGTCTCTGACAACACCAAAACGCATTGCGATGTCAACAACGGGAGCAGCCAGAAAAAGGTTATAAGAGAACAACACACCCCACCGTCGCCCCCACGAACAACCCCCTTTGCGCAGCTGCCGTATATAAATGCCAATCGAGACAGCTCCGAGGGTAGCCTGTCTAGTACGACAGGGATCGGATCCTGCATCATCCCATCCTCCAGTCCTCGTACACCAAGACCAAAATGCCTGCCAAAGGAGGGACGAGAAGACGGTCCAGCTCGGTCTACAATCAGTACCATCCTCCGACGAGCTATCGTCCCACGCTTCCCCCAGGCCATGAAGAACCTTCTTCCTTCCCCGACATCAAGCTTTTTTTCCGCCGAAACAGGAGGAGAATGCGATCCCGACAATTCCTGTTCCTGATCACGATCGTGGGACTGTTCGCCGTGTCTCTCTACTGTCTACGTGGCACCACTTTGCCCTCTCTAGCGCCAGAGGTCGCGGATCTCCTGAAGACGCCTACGCATACACGTCCACAGTCTGAGAAGCAAGATGCGCAGCCGAAATCAGAGCCCCCGAGAGTGGGTGATTCGCATCCGATGTGGCAATTGATCAAGGATAACGAGATGGAATTCGAGCGCAAACTCGCGGCGCAATCGAAGACTTTGCCGGAAGCTGTAGTGGAATACAAGAGGAGATATGGGATCCCACCGCCGCCGAACTTCGATAAATGGTTTGCGTTTGCCAAGGAGAGAGAGGTGGTGTTGATTGATGAGTTTGATATGATACACCATTCTCTTACGCCCTTTTGGGGGTTGAAACCTCAGACGATAAGGAGACGGACGCAGGAGGCGTTGGGATTCGGGAATAATTTAATGGGGGTTCTGATAAGGAATGGGGAAGTGAGGAAGATTGGGGAAGGGGGGGCTGCGGATTGGCAGATTGAAGCTACGCAGGGGATGATGAAGAATTTTGTTAAGCATTTGCCTGCTATGGATTTGGCATTCAATGTACATGACGAACCGAGAGTTGTGGTTCCCCACGATGATCTGGAACGATTGGTGAAAGATGCGGTGGATAATCAAATGCCAGCTGCGAATGCTGTTGAGAAACCTCGAAACTCATGGTCTCCAAGACCAAAAGACCTGGGGGACGGTTCACGATTCGAAGATATTAAAACTACCCGATTCAACGTCTTCGCACACCAACCTACATGGACACATTCTCGAATGTCCTGCCCCGCCAATTCCCCCGCACGCATATCCCTTGAAGACGAACCAGCCCGAGATAACTACGACAGCTATGCGCTCGGAGAATTGGGTTTCGTATACAATGCTACCGCCTTTTCAGACGTCTGTCAATCCCCCTCCTTCGGCTCAACATTCGGATTCTTTGACCGTCCAAACGCCTACAACATAGTCCACGACCTCTTCCCAGTTTTCTCCCAATCCAAAATCTCCTCCTACAATGACATCCTGTACCCCTCTCCTTGGTACTGGGCAGGCAAAGTAAAATACGACGACAAAAGCGACCGCGCCTGGACCGCGAAAGAAGACAAAATCTGGTGGCGCGGTTCAACAACGGGAGGATTCAGTCGAGACGGCGGCTGGCGAAGACAACATCGCCAACACGTCGTGCAAAAGATCAACGCCAACGACCAAGCCAAGATCCTCACCAACAGCAGTCCCGAAGGCGGCCAGGAAAACTGGCAAGTCAAAGAAGTCCCCCGCAGCGACTATAGCGCCATCTTCGACATCTTCTTCTCCCACGTCGGACAATGCGATGAATCCGACTGCAACGCCCAACGGCAATTCTTCACCATCAAAGACACGGCCAGGCAAACGGACGCATGGAAATACAAGTACCTCCTCGACGTGGATGGGAACGCGTTCTCGGGGCGCTTCTACGCGTTCAAGAAGCTTGGACCATTCAAAATCAAACGAGTCAAGGGACCTCTGAATTATGAATTGGCGCTACCAAAAACCATGAACATCTTTCCGGTATTCCACATATCCTTGCTCGAACCAGCACCACCGGGAGCACCACCAGCCCCATTTACAGAGATCCAACCAGTAAATCCAAACGCCGAGTACGAAGTCGAGAGCATTCTTGACTGTAAACTTGTCAGAGGACAGATCAAATACTTGATCAAATGGTTGGACTACCCACATTCGGAGAACACGTGGGAAACACGAAAACACCTTAACCAGTGCCAGGAGGAACTTCAGGAGTTCCATCGCCAAAACCCAGGGTTGCCCACATCTCCGAATCAGGAGGGAAGGCTGCGAGGAAGGCCGGGTCGAGGCCCAGGTCGAAAGCAGGGTCGGAATTAGCAGAGGTGGGAAGAGCAGCCAGCTTGGCAGCCTCTTCCCCTCTTCTCCTCTCCCCCTCCTGCCTTTCTTTCTCCTCCTTATCCTTCTCCTCAGCACGGTCTAGCTCGTCAAGGGACGAGAGGCCACGACGAAGCATCTCTTGCTCACGATCGTCCAAAAAGCGCTGCTGTCGTCTCAAACGAAGAATCTTGGCCATGGCCTCTTCTTCCTCGTCGCGAAGGCGCCTCCTCTGTTTGTCAAGGGACTCCCAGTCTGTAAGGGAGGGAGCGCGGTTCTTCTCTCTCACGTCGCAGGTCTTGCCCTGAAGAGTACAGGAAGAACATTTGTCACCTCCTGATAAAGCCACGCAACGACGACCCTCTTTCCCGCCTTTCCA